TTTAATCCGTAGTGCCGTGCTTCGTTAATCGTTCACCTTGATAACCGTTATAATTCCAATCTTAGAAGGTAAAGAGAAGCAGCAACTACAATTTATTGTCAAATGACGCAGACCAGGAAGCTAACAGCACCTGAGCGAATATCAGCGAGCGAGCGAACAAGTAGCAATCTAGTACATAGGCAATTTATAGTCAAATTTAATAAGGGCACAGCAAAACAAAACAAAAGCTGATAATAGGATTTGCGTGCATACATAATGGGGAGGAGTATGAATCATTGAATGATACTTAAGCAATCAACATTTTGGCTAGTGTCATGTGCTCTAGTGGTCATAACAGTACAAAGAATATACAAATTGTTATTATCCAAATGACGGTGCCTGTTAAATAAGTTAAGAAAAAGGCTTCACCAAAATTAACCATAATCGAAATTGATTGTAGGATGGTTACTATAACTCATCATTATCATAGTATAGATACTAGATAAACTCTTCTGCTTGTATTTGGTAGGAATTTCGGGGTAATTAAAATCTCAATCTGTTGTCATCACCAGCAAAACTTGAACGAACTTGTTGCAACTATTGTAAACTCAAAAACTAGCTTCATTCACCATTCATGTTTAATAGCTGGGTGATTTATTTCCTGAATTAGGTTATGACCTTTTAGTTCCAGAAGATCTTTAATCCGAATTCCCAAATAAGTTGTTAAACATGATACTTACAAAGCTTGTCAAACTAAGGAATAAAGACATACATATTTCACGCGAAATTTACAACATTTACAGAGATATTTTCAAGCCCTACACTCTTAAACCAATTTCTTGTAATTAGTGATCATGTAACTGAAAGACTATATTGTACATGTTCATTTAGCAACAAACAACCAAGTAAGCGCATAGAAACGTCATGGGTCAAATGGATTATTTAATTTTACTTCAGTTTATATCATTCAAATAGACAAGGATAATATGGACAAATGGACATAAAAAGCATACGAACATAACCAATGTACATGGATTGAAGGTCATGATTAGTTGTGTATGAATACATACAGTATAACAAATAAGATTACAATAATCCATAAAAATCATATAAGTATCAGTAAGGAGTAGTGGAGACTGTTGAATTTCATCGAAATAATGAGTTGATCTAAGTTAGACCAACATTGAAAAACTGTAAGCACTGAACAGGCGTTTTATACTAGTATAGAACTCCTTGACACTGCTCATACACGATCTTCGATCTCTCATGCGAACGCTTAACATCAAAACCATTAAGCTGTCATCCAGTTGTGTTAATGTCTAACTTTAATCAATTCACAATAACATGTGACCATCTTCCAATGCCCTCGGTGGGTAACGGCCTCATGCAGATTGAACTCTCTAAAACTTTCTATACTGAATCGCTACAGACTACAAATAGTAATGTCCGCCAACTGATAAGGCTGTAAGGTGCTTTTGACATCACTTATAATCTAGTTCCATTGGTTTTCATGTACTTTTCCAGTGCAATAGCACACGTTTAAAATGCATTAAGTCCATTGCTACATCCAACTATCTTGATTATACTACTTATTAACGTTATGAACACACGAAATTGATATGATAGGCCAATCAGAAGTGATCAACAGAGGTCATTCGGTAATATATATATATATATATATATGTATATATGAGTTGCATATATGTTGTTCAGTAGCCCAACGCGTAACACATTGTTTATCAGTATCAGATTTCGAACAGCGTCCATCATATGAGAAATGTTTTCCTTACTTTGGATAATGGAAATTAATGACGAACATATGCATCAATGTTGTGTTAGTACACTGAAAACCCTATATTTCGTTAATATCATATTCTTGATCAGAAAGGGTTTTGTGGAGATTTCAGTATTTTCATAGTTGAAATCATGAGTCCATTGAAGCTAAACCACCATCGAAAACCTGGAAGCACTGGACAGCCGTTTCGTCCTATTATGGGACTCACTGCTGAAGAGCCCCACAATAGGATGAAACAGCCGTCCAGTGCTTCCAGGTTTTCGATGGTGGTTTAGCTTAAATGGACTCATGATTTCAACTATGAAAATATCATATTCAACAACCTTGAGGAACTTAATTTATCAGTAATACAGTAATATCAGAATATACTCTCAAACCATCGGTTCATCTTAAAAGACTAAATAAATTACACCTAAAAATTAAGTTATTAGTTCCAAAGTTACATAATAAGATCTTTTGAAACACACTTTTGTAATACCAGACGAGGTCGTTTAAAACTTTTAAAGCCATATGCATAGCCAATTGGACGTTTCGATATTTCATATATTTAAAAATAAATTATCCACTAAAAGAATATCAAAACTCAACTCAATTGCGAAAAGTACATCCCTCCTGTGAACAAGACAGTGATCAAAATATAGGCAAATAAATTCCATAATATACTTAATCAGTCTGTAATTTGGAAATAAAATATTTGAATGATTTAATTCTAAAAATGGTCCAACCAAGAGACATAATAAACCTCTATGCAATCATGCAATAAACAGACTGGTTAGGTGACATAAACAACAATCTGTTTTGATAGAGACTTTTGTCATATTTGTCTATAGGATATGATCATAATGAGTAACTTGAAGGCTTATCGACCACATTAACATAAGAAAGTGATTAAATTAATGTTTTAGTAATCATTAAAATATTACTACAAATATCTGGTCAATGATAATTATTCTTGGCATTCATGCGAATGTTTCATCTATTATTGTGACCTACTTTACTAGAGGAATGAAAATTTTATTAATTAGGTTTCATTCGATTAGATGAACAAATAAGAAATAAGATAACTGATATTTGCCAAATATCTACAACAATGTTGTTTAAAATTGTGTTCACTTTTCATCTGATTTGTATGAGAAGTATATATATATATATATATATATATATATATATATATATATATATATTTTAAGGTGATTTACTGTCCTAGAGATAAGCCATATCTTTTAGTTCAATCAATTGGGAATAAAAAGAATATCCTTAAGTAATATGTGACGTTGATTGAACTATATCCCTGATTGAGTAAATTCGAAAAATAGTGATAGTATAGTTGAGAAATATAGTACTTTCGATGGAACTAAAAGTTTTGAACTTGAGACTATAAAGTTTCATGAGTTTTCAGTTCCAAATTCGAAATATACTAATTTACCAGTACCATTTGATTTTCAAAGCTCTCAAATCGATGTTAGAACTTGAATAAAACAATATTGAAGAGAACAGTTCATAGTAATTAAAATTAGTAAACCATGCTACTTACTAATATTCAGTAACACTGTTCCATTAATCGGTGATAAACAACATCATCAACATTCTCATTCGACATTATATATATAGTATTCTCTAATCTAGCGGCTAATAACCTATTTATAAGGCTAATAATCTTAAAACAATATGGGGTTATGAAGATTGTTGAGTTTTTGATTGAGATCATCAATCGATGCGTGTTAGACCACCACTGAAAAGCTGAAAGCACTTGTCTGTCGTTTAATCCTAGTGTGCGACTTCTCAGTAGTGCGCATTCCCTTGATTACTAAACTACTTATGCTAAGTCTACGTTTCAATGGTAAACTACTAACTTATTTGTCTTCTTCTTATTTACTACAATAAAAACAGTAATTTATTCGACCATAAGCTATTAGTTGATTTGTATGTTCTGATTTTTATGACTTCATCTAACAAATAGTCTTTGATTAATTCAGAGATAAGTTTTATATAGTGAAACAACCATATAAATAAAAGTTCGTTAGCTATGCTATGGATAAATGTATTTAACACCACTGAACTCAATCATAGATTCTGTCCTAAATATCAAACTATTCAAATCCATTGTAATTATCGTTACCAATAATATAAGGTAAACAGACAATTATGTAATATTTCATGTAGTGAATATATGTATATAGTGATTATATTCAGTAACAAAGACCTAATGTAACTATGTCGCATATGATAATGGTGTATTTAATAAAAAAACATTTAATACTGAGAGTAAAAGTTGCGCCATAAATGAAGGAATTTTAAAGCTCTTTTCTTGATGAGAGCATAATCAATTATAGTCTCATCGGAAATATAATCATAGTAAATACAATAAAGTTATTGTTGAATAACATATGAAATACAAATCGAAGACTACCTCACTAATCTACAATGGTATTATAAGTTTATTGTTTATCAAGTAGTCAATTTGTCTGACTGACTTATAGAAACGAAATATTATGGAGACACAACTATACACGAACATGTAAAATAATTCGGCAAGTTCGTCAATGAATAACAGAACATCATCCATCGTGGTTGAGCGAAGAATAGGTAAAGGTGCTAAAGAGTTCTATTGTCGCTAACTTGGTGGACACAGGTCATCAAGTTGAACTGAATAAATCTTTTAAGGTTATCTACCATCAAATTTGCCGCATGGTTTACGAGCTCGTCTTTTGCACATAGCTGAAGCCACCGCAATCCATATTCACAAACCGAACCTTTGTATCCAAAAGAAGTTTGTACAACAACTCTCGCTACCTTGGCCATCGGTATAGAGGAGTCTGTAGCAGAACTTTGGTAAACAATTATTTAATTCCTTCCATTTTTGTATTTTACTTATTCTCTACATTCGTCTCTTGATTCTTACTTAACTAACATATTACAGCTGACAACTAGAAATAGTGGGAGATGATCATTCTATTTCGCATGTTGATACAAGATAGACATTAATACTGTTGCATGTCACCTAAATGGTATAGAGACAAAGCGCTCACCAGCAAGACCGATGATCCTGGGTTTGATTTACGAATGTGAGGTCTTAGATGCTCACTCCTAAAGAGTTCCATACCATTCCTTCCAGGTTTTCACTGATAGTCCTGCTTAGATCAATCCATGATACATAGTCTATGATAATTGTTTAAAATTTAAATAGTAAGAACTTCCAGTAAAAGATTAATATCATAATTTACAATTACTTAATGAAATGTTCTCTTTATTTCATGAAAAAAATATTAACACATCGTGTTATATATTACTTATTACTTAATTATTATAGAGTGTTTACCAAAATCATCAAAATTCCTCAATGAAATAGTTGGATTGACCAACAAAGAATAACACTGAATGTTCCAAAAAAATAACACAGATAATCTAATTATCGATATTGATTTTAAAACATGTTTCTTAACTTATACAATTTAATGAAGAAGAAGAAGAAGAAGACCCTGTCGAGGTGTATTGGGTAATGAAAGAATATTGTCAAACGTATCCAATGTGACAACGACATAGCAAAAAGAAGACCTGAAAAGACAAGTATTATTGTAACCACAAATAAAATACATAAAAAATGAATATGGGCCTCTATACGATTGTTCTAAAATACTGAGGTTTATGGAATAAAATCAATAAGTTCATAATTTTATATAAGTCAATCATTGTTATAAAAAAAAGTGTATAGAATGTGTTAAACTCAATGTATGCTATATGGCTAGACTGTTTTATATGACCAGATATTAATGTATATTATTATAAACAATCGAGGTTGGTTGTTATATTGTACTTTAGTCTTTAAACTTATTAAAATTTATGAGATTCATAATAAGTAATGGTAAAATCTAATTTGTATGTTTATAATGAGCTGAGTATTACAAACAAGTATGAAAATCATGGATTTCATCATTTAATAAATTAGTTGGTCAATGATATATATTGTTAGTGAAGATTATTAAGTTTGTGGTTTATATAAGGAGGTGATCAATTAAACAACTACTGGGAACCAAAAAGCGCTGAATTCCTGTTTCTCCTTGTTATAGGATTCCTTGACCTTGTCAGTATAAAAAACTATCTCCTTCAAACTACGTGATAACAACTTATTGACCATTGTCTGGTAATGTTAGTGATACTATTCTTATGACCCACTTGTCTGAAGTACACTGTTCATAGATTCTCACCAGAACCCAGCAAATCCCCTTTAGATAATATTCACAGTTTGGTGCATGAGCACTAATATAATATAGAGAATTGATTAAATGTAAAAATGTAAACCATTAAATGTCATCCAATGGTCCATTAGTCTAAATTACTTAAATCCATTCACTGGAGGAGTAAAAAATAAACACTGCTAAGAAGTTCTGTAGTAAGTGAAAACAGCCGTCCAGCGCTTCCAGGTTTATAGTGGTTGTCTATAGTTAGCGACTTATTTTCATTGTAAGAGTTTGGGGGTTGGTTATCTTCATCCAGAAGCAAAAGTTAGCCCTTTCTAAAAGAGAAGCAATGACAACTAAGACAGATAAAACCCCATATTCGTTTAATAATATTATTTATCATATCTCAATCAGTAGAAAACTGTATTTCTGACGTTTCATGACTTAGTGTAATCCATTTCTCAGGAGTAAATATTTACAAACAGTTACAAAACGTCAGAGATACGATTTTCTACTCATTGCGATGTGACAAAAAATATATTTATTACTGACTTTCTACCCAATGTTCAATTTATTAGAAACTGTCATGTACAACATTGGCAATGATACCTACAAATTCATCTTCGTTTATTTGAAACGAACTATTTAATTCACTAAAAAATAGTATGAGTATTGATCACATAGTTTATCGATAAGGAGTAAGTGACGGATGTTTACATTCCTTGAATCATTCTTTTTTCTATGTAGATATTCCTTCTTATTTTATATAATGATATTAAACAATTCATGAATGTTCAAAAATTTTATTAATAGCATTTCTATAAGTTGACATTGGTGCCATATATTGCAATGGCAAATCAATCAATGTAACCACTAGATTATACCTTTTGACCACCGTATCGACAACTTCAAACTTTGTAGTCTAAAATGTCATTCTCAAGTTATTATTTTAAAATACTTGTTTGAAAAGCAAACTTATTTTCAAGCTAATTTACACTCTGTTCAAGTTTCTTAGGTCAAGTGCTCTGGCGCAAGACTGATAGGTCCTGGGTTCGAATCTCGTGATGCGAGGTCGTGGATGTGCACTGCACTGAGGAGTCCCACAATAGGAAAAAATGGCCATCCAGTGCTTCCAGGTTTTCCCTCTTGGTCTATTTTCAAGTGACCTATGCTTTCAACTATGAAAATACTAAATCTCCACAAAACACCTGATAACAATATTATTAATAAAACAGTTTTTCCGACTCAAAATTCATAATAAAGATGGTATTACCTTAAGATAATGAAGTTTAAACAATTTGAATCATTCACATCTAAGTAGTGACTAGTGACCATATCTTTTATTTTTATTGTTTCACGGTGTAATTTAGTAGTTTGTGTCTTTCATGTTATCAATAAAAAAAGTCGTGTTTAAATTAGGCGGTTAATATGATATATTTAAAAGTTATAATAGTTTGATTTCATTTCATGAGGTTTATATTTATCCAGCAATCGTTACGGATGTCATATAGAGCTGACCATCCTGTGCAATCATACAAATTAGTTTGAAATAGCGTCACACAACAAAAAACAAAATTTTATGATCAAATGAGTTCAAACATTATGGTACTTACTGTAGCGCAGAAACTTTTGGATAAGATTTAAAGAACGATTCTGTATATTCAAATTTCTTGAAGTAATTCTTATGACTTAAAAAACTAAAAGGAATGTCCATTTTTTTTCTTTTCAATAATAAAGACCATAAATGTGAACGTTTTCAATAAGGGTCTATTCAAATTTTTTTGAAATTTAACATAAGAATTATTACTTATATACAAACTTCCATTAAAATATGAACTTTAGTCCATTTAAGTACTTTCGAATAGATAAAAATTTATTCCGATATAAAGGATTTCATTAAAAAAAATACTTCTTGAAGCTCTTTATAAAAATAAATTATTGAAAATTCATATATTGTTAACATTTGACGTTTCATGATTATTATGTTTTGTTTAGAAACATTATAAGCAAAGATGTATAGAGGCTAGCAGTGGAATCCAGGATGTGCGTTTCGTCCTATTTGGAATTTGTCGACTGGACGTACCTGCATCTGAGTTGAAATACACTCTGGGACTCAAACCCAGTGCCTTTATCTTCATACGCCATCGCGTTATCCACTCAGCTACTGAGTCCTGATAGCCATTTGCTTGTGCAGTGGAGTGAAGTTTAAATTCACTTAGTATGGTTTGGTTGAATCTTCCCATTGATGTTAAGGACTGCAATTGATAGTACTTGCACTAGCGATTGGCCATCAGGACTCAGTAGCTAAGTCGATAACCCGATGACCTTTAAAGCAAATGGTACTGTGTTCGAGTGCCAGAGTTTATTTCAACTCAGATGCAGGTACATCCAGCTGACAAATCCCAAATAGGACGAAACCCACATCCTGGATTCCACTGCTAGCCACTATCCATCTTTGCTTATAATGCTTGTGAATTAAGGCTGTATCTAGTCAATACACACAGTATACATATATGCCAATAAGAAACTAATAAATTGCAATCCTAAACATCAATGAGAAGTTTCAATCAAACAATACCAAGTGAATTTTAGATTCTATTTAGTTCAAAATAGTCTCTTGATCATTTAGGTCACTACATACATTTTCTATGTAATTTATGATTTCTACAAACGGTTCATCATTGTTTAAGGGATAGATATACTCACCAGTGATATATATTTCTTTAATTCCATACTAGAGATTCCGTTAGGTTTTCATGTTTTGTTAATGTTGAAGCAATGTATAATTTAGTTTTTTCCCCACTGAATTACCACAATACCATTACCCAGACAGTGTTATTTCACTTGACAATAATAACATAATAAAAATACTTTGAGCCACCTACTTATGATTATTATAAAGTATTTACTTCATTTTAATAAAAAAATATCCATTAAGGAAAATGTGAAACAACAAAAATACTGATTCAACAAAGAAGTCTTTTTGTTGAGGTACAATCTCAAAAATATACATTTTGTATAATAATAATAATACATGATCTGTTTTATACAGAATTATACCTCATATCAGTTAAATAGTTAAGTGTCTATGTGAATTTAGTAGCTAACTGGATTTTATAAATTGACAATAATGTGTATTGGCATAGAGGCTATTGATTGTTCTAGATGTGAACCATCATGTTTTTGTCAACAGATTTTATCGGACATTTATTGTCGAGAGATATTTACTGTTACGAGTGTTCATTTCTTATCTATCACGTAGAAACTCCTTATCCGTTAGATCCATGTGAGGGAGATACAATCAATTTCTTTCTTCTAATGAGAATTTGCTAGTTGCATATATTATGAAAGTTTTCTGTAAACAGATCCATTAAAGTGAATATGATATAAGTCATATTTCAGACCAGAATTAACAAAAGTATCTTCCATAAAGAAGGTTCGGCTCAGACGTCTATATGCTTTACAACATTTATTAGAAAATCTCTAACCATTTAACGTCAAAGACGATCATGACATAATGTTTTCATTGTAATTTAATCTGTCAGTCAGTCAGCTACAACGTAGGATCAGGCACATATATGCATCGGTCCAAGTTGCCATACCTCATTAGCACAACAAGATGAACACCGGATTCATAGAAGTAGTTAATTTAGTGGTGGTAATATATAAAAGATAGGTTGTATATAAGGATATAGTTTAGGAAAGAAAACAGATATGAAGCAATTTTAATCTCAAGGTTTAAGGGAAGATAAAGAGTGTATACACCTACGCCATTGTGATCGATTCTGAGCCATGTTATCTAGAGTCTCCAACCATTGGTTACGATAGTCACGCAGACCCCAACCAAGTAGTCTGCATCTATCAACATGGCTTAGACTAGAAGTTAGTGACTTCATGTTCTGATGATACGTTTTGGTTTGGCCGCACTTAACTCTCTTCCAACCACCCCCAATACTAGTCGGTAACCAGCGTTCAGGCATACGTAACACGTTGCCCATACGTAACACGTGAATTTAATCTGCAGAATTCGATCAACTTTAAAGAATAAGTGAGACAAGTTATCGCTAAGTGATCAACTAGTATACACAGTTTTCATTCTATTGTTATTTTTTCTCACAAATAGTTAATGATGTCACATATTACAAAATCAATTATCAGTGACAATTTTATTGAATTATGATAATGTCACAAGTCATGTACTAAGTTATATGTATTACATATAGCATATAGCATACATATAGCATATTAAGTTTATCATTTCACTTAACTGTTGTGTATAAGCTTCATTGACTTATCGATTTTCTATGCTGGCACAAAATATACGTTTATTTATTTTGTTGACAATAATTGTCAAGTATATGTGTCATAGTAAGATAATAAGTTAAGGTTACTTCTTTTTCCATCATGATAAATCAATATGTCATAAGGTAACAAAACAATAGAAAATTTTTATTACTGAAAAAAATTTTGTTGACAGTTTGATGGTCTTTTAGGTTCCATTTTGAAAAGCTTGGTAACATTTAGTTTGTATAGATTTTAAGTAGCCTTCTGCGGTAGTTTTTTTCGGCACAGACAATTCGAATATATGCGTAGATGTACAGTTAAATACCTATTCTCTATACAAGATGGTTTAACTGACTACAGTCCTTATATATTATATTCTAGTTAATAGAATAACATGGAAAAATGTAATATATTCTTGTGACAGTGAACTAGGAGTATAGACAACTAGAAGTGGAAAATTTAATAACATTATAACTAACAAGTTCAAGACAACTACACGTTATAAGCCATAATTAATAATGATATCTATTGAAGTAGCCAAAAGTAAGTATCTATTTAACCTAACGTAATCATGTTCAAATACTTATAACGTTTCGACCAACTGTTCGTTATTTACTCAACAATATTCATCTAAACAACTAAACTACTATTTAATTTTCTTACTAAAATAAGATATATCATTTTAATTTTTAGATCCCTATATCAACAATCCGTGTCAAAAGACACTCAGCAAAATGAAGCCACAAATTTTCACTGTTAATGTTGAGTGATAAGAACCAGTTGTATTGAAAACATACTTCAAAATAACCGTATCACAATAAATATAATGGTCTAGCTCAATGAATTTACTTCATTTTTAATGACGTATTAAATAATTTCGATAAGAGGGACTATAGTAACCAAACTTCTTCACATCCATATTTCAGGTGCCTAATGTTTTTTTAATCTAAACATTCATTAGTTTCTATACATAAATTATCAGGTTCCATCACATCCCACATCGGAAATCACACTTTACTCACAGTCAATTTCGAGAGGTGATTTCACTAGTTTTGGTGATTGTGACTAATGTATTTCAACCGTGCAAGATTTGAGGCAGTGTCCTAACGAAGAAAATAAAAGACGATCGCATAATATTGCAAATCAATTGAAATATAACAAGTAAACCAGTGGATGCCAGATCACGTACGTAAAGGTTAGTTTCGTGCAAAGAAATCCTAATGTTTCTATTCGATCCACTATGATTGGGTTGCTTAAGCAAACTTTTGAGAAGTCTCACACTGGGACAAAACAGCTGTCCACAGTTCCATGGTTTTTACTGGTTACCTATCTTAGGTTGGTTCGGGATTAAAATAGATACGATTTATTATTCGAAGATTTTAACTGTGATAAATCAAGATATGTTATCTAGTTTTTTCGACCTTATTTACCAGTTGAGATTCTCACATGAAATCAAATACAATGAACATCCAAGTTAATTCATCAACCATCGAACTCCTGGTCACCTTTTAAAATCACCAAGGAATTATGAAGGAATTTAAAAACAGACCCATACTTCTATGATAGACTTACAAAGAAAATCAAGATAACTTTTAGAAGAATTCGAAACAACTTGGGATGTACGGCTCAAAACAACTCATGGCCTACGTACACGTAGGATGTAGCAATACAGGGTGTCAATACTAACTAATTTAGACCCATTCCATTATATTCAAAAGGAATTCGTGATATTTTTCAACTATATAATCTGCCTAAATGATCCCTTATTACTATCCGTCAAACTCTTTATTTAGGAATTCTAGCTCTCACTATTCATTCCATCAGACAAACTAATAGGATTCGCTAATGTGTCATAATAGAGAATACAACCTAGTTGCTGGTTTATGAAGTATCTTCTCCACATTGTATCACCATTTTCTCATAAATGTGTAACTCAGCACCATTTCAATCTTTTAAACATTAATCAAATCTTTTTTCATTCTTAACCAAAATTACTAGCTGGTTAAAATACATTTCAGAAATAAAGAGTAATACAACCGATTGTCCTCTCTCTTACTTCTTCTTCTTCCACTCCAATCTTCCTTTCTTATTTACATTTTACTTATGTTCAATGAAAAGAAAAGAAAATATTTTGTTTCGACAGTTTTAAATAAGTTTTTTTCAAATTTTCTTTGACCTAAATCTAAAGCGGGTTAGTGGACGAACTAATAATGGTTATAACAATAATAAAATGAAAAGTAATCGATGGTTGTTTTTCATTATTTCTTTTCATTAGAAAAAAGCCAATAGATAGACAGACAAATGACTGAAAGTCAATCATTTCTTAAAACTTTTATACAAATACCGAAATATACTGATTAATCCTTTTGTTAATATTTTGTATACAAAATATAAACCGACATGTCAACAATGAAATAAATTTGATATTATTTAATTCTTGTAATTGAAGTAGTTCAGAGGAACTATTTAATACTGTATAATTGAAATATTCAATATATCAAGCTTTCTG